TTTCCAGAGCTTCTTACCAAAGAAAACCTGCAGCAATGCATCTCTTTAGTCTTTTGGTTGGTTTCTGTATTTTCTGGTCACCAGCCTAACCTGTGTTTAGGTAACCAGTGTTACACCCTTGGGTCTCATGATTTAGACCTCAAGAAGGACAAACCACAGGAACTAGTTTTGTTGGATATCCCATAGATATCAATATTATTCACAAAAGACATGCACGCATGCCTACAAATAATGTTTAAACTCTGGCATGCATAAATGCTCATACACAAACATACAGCATGCTAGAAAGACAGAGGTATGCTCTCTCCCACTATCTCTTGCGCACATATTTTACACACACATGCCAAGCAATTACAAAAACACTGATTACAGTTTGCATGCTGTGGTCTTGTTGCTTGTAGGAATATGCAAAATTGATGCCTTTAATTAGTTTGTTTACTGTGAGGATAATTGAGTTATTAAAACGTTTTTAACAGCCATCTCAGAATACAACAATATCAATTAAGCAATTACGGTTAAGATGAATATACTTTTTTGGTATGCAATGCTAAAGGACCAAACATGTCAGAGTCCTGGGAAAACCTTTTGTTTCCAAAACAACTTGACCAGAGAAACTGGTGTATTTTCCCTGTGCAAAGAGGTAAAGAATGACACACTTTCGTCTTAAAGATTTCAATTTACAATTTTCAATGTAATGCAATAGTTTTACAAGCCATTTCCCTCACAGTGAAGACACACACACATCACTACATGTTATTTACATGCATAGTGAGTGTCCATTTAGGCGTCATTGCAAAACAACCCAACCTTGTCCCTGAAAACATTAAAGACTGTTTAACAAGTGATGCAGACCTGCTAGCTCATGCCAAGGGATCATAACATAATAAATCTCATTCACCAGCATAATGTTGTTTCAGCTCAAATCTGCAGTCACTTTGAGACCTGCTCTCTATCAAAATAACAGCCACTGTTCAAATAAACTCAACACACAAGTCCAGGCCTGGTGTTTCTTCACAGGCAAGAGCTATTCTCATGAAGATTAATGTTTGTTTTTTTCTTTCAAGTAATCTGATATTAAACAAGTATTTATCAAATATTATAATATCTGTTCAGGTCCTGAATAGTTATGTGATCATTTGGCATTTGCTTCTTTCCATGCAAGATGAAATCATTACAGCATAAAAAGAGAAGTGTGTTTTGATTATAGTTTTTTGTACAATTACTTCATATTAACAATAGAGAGGATCAGCTGAACTTTGATTTGGCTGAGATTGAACACTACTGGTAGAAGAACCCAGCAGGGATCTCAGAAGACTCCTCAATGTTTGCATCAGGTCGTTGTCAACACATAATACGAGCATGCATACACACACCCTGTCACTTAAATGACAGTGCCCCACAAAAAAGAAACACACATGATTGCATAAACAAACATGCACATGCAATTCCCTCATGGTGTTGTCACCACAAGAACACATCCATACATAAAATATTAAAACATGTGGAGAGGGAGATGAAGAGCATGTTCACTTAAATCAGTGCACTAAAAGGTTCACTGTGTTTTCTAAAGTCAACATACAGATGGTGCACCAGAGAGTCGAGAGAGAGGCAGGAGCAGCAAAGGAAGCTTTCTTTTTTCTCCCAGAATGTGAACAGTATGTTTAGATAAGAATAGAACCGCATGACTCTGAAATAGCACCTTTTTACTGCACATCTGTTTACTTTGAAAGTGTATCTCTAGCATTCTTACACTTGACTTGGTGACTTCATCACTTCCCTCAGGGCACAGAATATATAAGTGAGTCAGGATGCTCAACAGGATTTCTCTCTGCACGCAAGCAGCAACTGGTAAGGGAGGGTCTACACTTGACCACAGACTTGTGGTCTTATCTGGTCTGGGTATATCTTCCTATCAAAACATTCAGGTTATGTACAGTCTCACGTAATCACTGTAATAACTGTAATTACAATATGGAGGCCAACTATTGCAATGATGGATCTTTTTGTAGGTTTTTAAGTCAATGTGGAAAGACCATGAGAAACACTTGAACCCAGGCTATATAGTATATCCTCTCCAAAAAGGGAAACAACCAGCTATAAATATATGTCAAAATGAAAGATGTTTTCTTCCCTTTTTATATATTTTTTATGATCATAACATTATAAATATGGGGGGGAAATAGAAAAGATCTATGTTTTAAAGACTAAATTGAAAAGCTAACTTATACATAATATAAAATACCCTGGCAAAAACAGAAACATGTATTGTATGCAGTGTGACCTTAAAGGGACAATTCACGCACTTACGACATCAATTTTAATAAAGTGTTATTTAGCACATGAAAACAGAAATGACCCTGATGATTTCATGAGTGTTATCTCTTTGGGCTTGGAGGCAAATTTGTAATAGAAAGCCTGAGTTACAAACTAGGGATGTGGAGATATTATGAGAATTTACAAGGCAGGGAAAATCTAACACTGATGAGTAGTATTATTGGAAATATAGGATCCAGTGTTGCTGAGGCCAAGTACAACCGTATCTTCTGAGTTCTGTTCCATAAGTAAGAAAGCTTTATTAAAAATTAATTGACATTTATACCTACTAATAACTGAAAATACAGTCTTCGAACAGAGTCAAGAGTATGTCATGAGGTTGGTTCATACAATAGCTTTTTTGAAAAATGATCTAATATCATCAATGCAGTATTTATGTTTTTAACTAATACCTTCTCCCATAAGCCCTAGACATTTGCGGCCCAAACATCAAGGTTCGACAAAAGAGGAAAGTCCATGAGTGAGTCATGGGGTCACGGCTAGCTCAGGCATGTCAGTAATAACAGCAGGACGGAGAAGTGCGAACGCCATAGAAGTTTTTAAACAGCAGAGATTACAACTAGAAGATGAAAAAAAATACTTTAGATGAGAGCGTTCATGAGTTTGACGTAAGTTTCAGTGACATAAGTACCCGCGGTATAACGTACGCTTGTACTGTTTTCATGGGAGCTGTAGTTTTTTTTCAGTCCTCACAAAGTAACACACATGAACACACGCACAGTGCCTGACTACTGCTGGAGTTGAGTTGAGAGGAGCAAAGGTCGTCACCTCTAACCGTATCCAACTATCTCATGTCTCATTCATACAAATTGCCCCCAAAAATCATTGAAAACTGACCTTCCCTAACCTTTTTTTGGTCATAGCCTTTTCTACTTCTTTCTTTTCTTGCTTTGTTTATCAGTGCAAACTGTTGTACAGGTGGAACTGGAAATTTTGGTTGCTCTTTCTCTGCCACTCTTGTGCAACGAGCTTGGTAGCTTTAGCAATAAATCTGCCTTGTCTTGTGGAAGACTCCGGTCATGCATACGGGCCTGCAACAGTCACAGATATATCTTTTTTTCAGAACATTTAAATAATATTGATTTCTGTTGGGATGAAGAGAATTTCAACAAATATAGCAAAAAAGAAATATTTATTTAAAGCCTATTAGAGATTTGGCTATGTCTGTTTTGGTTTTTATGACAACTTTGTCGGATTCCTTTGGGACTAAATGTTCAGCTAATAAATGTGGAATCTGCAATGGCTGAGGAAGCTGTCATTCTTCTACAAAACACAAAATAAAGTAATAATAATAATAATTGTAATATGTGTGTACCCATAAGATGGAAACTAATGACCTATGAAGTAACTGTACCATACATATACTAGCAAAAAGTAACTGAGGGATTTATCATCATTAGTAAGCTGTTGGCAGCTGACCTGTGACAAAATAAACATAAAACTGTTCTCTTACAAATACACTGCATTCATGTATTTTTTTTATTCATCACATTAAAGCCCCTACTTTATGGCCATATTACGGCCTTTCTTTATTGTCTTACAAATATTAAGTTATCCACAAAAATAAAATAACTTAGATAATAACCATATTAAAACATAAAAATACATACATACATACATTACATTTATGACATGAAAAAAAATGCATATTGCTGATATCTCCCAGAGTTTTCCTGGACAGTTCTGTATGTGCAAACTACTTATCAGAATCAAAATAATCTGGACACTACACTGGACACATAATTCCAGATTTGTTTCCTCTGCTTTCAACACAGAATTAATAAATTACACTGTCTGATAAGGAGCCTCGCTCATACAAGTTTCTTGAGACCAAATATGATCTTCAAAATGTGCATAGGCAGAAATTCATATCAACTTTGTTACTCACATACTTGTTGACAGATTATCCCTACTTGCACACATCGAAGAAGTGTGAAAAAGGTAAGTGTAGATATATCACAAGAAGCATACAGTGTTGTACACAGTACATTGCATCACAAAACAGGAGGATTGATGATGGCTTGGGATGTTTATAGTGTGAGGAACGTAAGCCTGTTCATGTGCACTCAGTTTCCTGAGGCACTCTGAATGTATTGATGGTATTTGTGCAGCATCATTCAGTTTTATTTACAATGCTGTTCAGATCATGCTGAAGATGAAAATTAAAATGAAGGTCTACTGTGCACTGTACTCTGACAGTCCTCTTATATTACATACCACACACAACACATGGAACATTTTGGACAACATAACTCCGAACAATGTGTGGTGTTTTAGGGAAGCTGTAATATATATTTCAAAACAGCTGTACAAGCTTTTGTCACAATGGTTTTCAAACAGCAATTTTCACATAGATTCACAGAATTACACTGTATAGGGCAAGTGTTACTCTGTTGGAAGCTGCTTTGTGTGGATATTATTTAAACACTCTCTGTTAGTGGAAAGGAAAGAGTTTCAGTTGTAAGGGTCTGATATGAGGAATGCCAGGAAGACGCACCAACAGACTTTCATCAGACTTTCAGTTAGGTCCTTTGATTTACTTCTGCCTCAGCCTTTCTGATTCATCATTGCCGTAACATCTTCCTTTGCAGTAGCGATCATTATATAATATTATAAAAGTTTGCCCCTTTATTGCAGTCTTCTGATTTAAATAGTCGTTGTTTTGTTTTTTGTTTTTTTTACCAAAAAGACAATCCTCTGATGTATTTTTAGCTGTAACATGATACTTCTTATAAACATTGGAACTTCTGAACTGCCCTTTAAGTGCTCCAGGTGTGTTGTGCTGTGTCAGATAGCGAGATAGTGTGCACTGTGAATCCTGATGAGTGAAAAGATCTGTATTTGTCCCTGTATGTTGTAAATAGGAGATATATGGCAAATACTGTGTAACATGACTGTGTTTATGCTGTAAGTCATCATATATGTGATGGAGGGACTACTGTATAATGTACGATCTTTTAAAAAAAACAACACAAAACAGATGTCTTCCCCCATTTTTTTAAGTTTCATGGGATGCAGACATCAGCTTTTCTGCCTTTTGCTGGTGCTATGAAGCAATATTATTTTCTTTCTGCATGCAATCTACTGCTTATGCTCAACATCCTCTTTGCTCACCTGAATCTCATGCAGCTGTACGTCAGTCAACATATGCTGATGAAACAACAATAGTCTGCCAAAGCCCAAATTTCATATTTGGAGCGTTCAGATATTTATCTGATATAACTATGTTCCTTTGTCTCAAGATGAAAGCAATAATCATCCAAGCTTTCTGAGTTGTGGCAGCTTTAGACATATGCCACATGTGCTCACTCTTTACCAAAATGCATATCTATCTCTTTGCTGGCTCAGCTGCTTTATACTGTTGTCTTTTCTCTCCTGGAAAACAGCAGTCCACCGCAAAAAGGTATGGGGCACATATATTACAGTCATATTCCCCTTTTAAATTGATAGTCTTGATTTTAAAAAGTCTCTTTTTCTTAGTTTTCTTTATTGTGTATAGTCTTTTAGTGTGTGTTTCTTCATTTACAGACACTGACCCACTCTGTTATCCTGCACTCTTCGCACACCACATAGCAGCACCAGTGAAACTTGCAATTGCAGCGTTCACTCCGCGTCTGCTGCAGGATGTTGTGGCCTCTCCCGCAGCACAGACTCTCACAGTTGTCCATGCCAGGGCTGGTCTTGTTGCAGATCCGGCCCTGCGTGCCCGCTGAGTCCGAGCCCAGGTCCCGCTCGCAGAAATCTGGCGACTTTTCAAAGTAGACCAGTTCGTTGATGCTTGGCCGTCGCCGATGTGTGTGGTGGTGGTGATTGTGGTGGTTGTTCTGATGATGGTGATGGTGGTGGTGGTTGTGATGGTTATGGTGGTTGTGGTGGTTGTTGTGGTGGGAGTGGTCGAGCTGTCCAGTGTTTCGGTTGTGAGCCTTGATAAGTGTGGCGATGTGGAAGCGCTCTTTGAGGATCGAGCCCACGACCCGGAACTCTGGGGTGACCTGCCAGCAGGTCTTCAGCTGGCAGCTCCCGGACGTCCCGTGGCACTTGCATTTCCTTCTCATGTGGTCGAGCACCACCTGCAAAACACACAGATGGAGACAGACAAAAAGAGAGAGTGGGATGGAGGGAGGAAGTGGGGTGGGGGGGAAAGGGGGTGAGAAGGATTAATGAC